TTATTTGTTTGTCAAGTAAATCTGAGGCATTGGAGAGAATTTTCAGAAATTGGGAATCTGTGTGGTGTGGGTACATTTCCATCACTCATAGGAAAATTACTACTTGATTCTGAGAAGAAAGTTTAAAAGCTAATGGTTTAGTCTGGGAGATTTCTACCATGTTGTGAAATTTAGGCAGTGGTGACAGTTAAATGACAATGGTACACTCTACCTTTTAGGATTCTGTACCTAGAATTCAGACAAGGTTTAGTTTTAGGATGCACTCCCGCGTAGCAAACACTGAACTACATTATGAGCTCTTCCTTCCATGCCTAAAATTAAATATGTGCTGTCATTGAGTATTGTTATTGAGTATTGGGTTGACTTCATAGGCATCCACTGACTGGCACCAAGCATGCTTCTGAAAAGTAGAAGGGACTTGAGAGAATGTCTGTTAAGCTTCCTTGTTTTACAAATACAGGCACTGAATCCAAAAAGCACAAAATATCTGCCCTGTGTTTTCATGGGAAGTTGATGGCGGAGCTGAGACTAAACCCCAGATATTTCAACTCGTGTCCAGTACTCTTTACAAAACCAGCAGAAGTTGGGCAGCAGTCATCTGTGAAATAACTAGACCAACAGGAAAACAGTGGCTTACAAAATCCTATGGTCTTTTGGAACATATGAGAGGTGTACTTTCATTCCGTGCTGTAAAGCATTTGTGATTTTTATAAATAAAACCCTATTTTAAATGCCCTAGGATAGTTGGCAATTTTAAGGGCCTTACAAAGCCAGGTCATATTTGATGATGCTTAGTTCAGGCTGAGGCTGACTAACTGATGGGTCATTTGACTGATGAAAAGTAACTTCTTTATACTACATTTCAAATTGTCAGATTTGCTTGAAGCAAACACACCTGTCTATGATTCTTGCTTAGACCAAAAGCCAACCTCATTTGCATCTTGAAGCACTTAGGATTAACAGGAAGAACCAAAACTTGAAATTTGCCAAGGGCAACACATACAAATAATTGGAAGTTAGCTATTTGAGAACACGGATGTGAATATCCAGCTTTTAGAGCCAGATTTCACTGTTTTCCAAGCCCAGATCCCTTAAAATCTCAAGTATCTAAAAGACGACTTTTCTGACACAGAGTAACCACCACCCTTCATATTAATCTCATGTGTCAACCTGATCACACCCTGGGAGTGTCCTGCCTTCTGATTTCCTTCTTGCAACCACAGAGGGCACTGTTAGGGGAAACTGGACTAGAGCCTCCTCCATTTCACCTTGTTCAGGCCCCAAGTCTGCAGAAATCAGATACTTGCTTCTGTTTATAAGTATGTTAATGCCTTGAGACATGCAGGTAAGCATTTATCTGCAAAGTTACAATAAAGATATTATATTGAAAAAGTTGAAGTGTTGGTAATATGCCACTTCCATCATGTTATTCTACGGCTTGAAAGTCTTTATGACCTAGAATACAGTCAGACTATGGAGGTGACATTAAGGCCTTCCACAGGCTGATGTCACCTCTCTTTTCTACTTCATAGCCTCATTGTTCTACTACGTGGGCCCTTCCCTTCAGCTAGGCTGGCTAATTCACCAGCTTCTGAACATTCCTGTACTTTCCCCAGGTGCACACATTTCCTCCCTAGCCTGCCATGCCCTGGAGTTCATCACCCTGCATCCAGATGCTACCTTCCATGACCCAGCTCAAATGCCCCTTCCTACCTGAAGTCTCTTAACTACCTAATTAGCAGAATTTCATGCTTTTTTTCCACCTCCACAAGAACAAAGCCACATTTTTTTCTGTTAAATACTTCCACACAGATTGGTATCCATTCTTAATAAATATTTGTTAATTGATTGATTCTGAATAACCCCTAGCCCTCCAAAAAAATTTTACTTTTGCAAAGGGCTTGAAAGTAAGGTGTTCATCTATAGCTGGCAGTACATCCACACAATGGAAACTTCAGAGTATCTAGTATGCTGTCATTGGATTCATTTCTTTTCACCAATCTAGGACTTTCAACTCTTAGTCACCTTTGGAGAGACCCTAGGAAGGGCACACTAGAGTCAGCTCAGAGATCACATTCCTGGATTCCCAACTCATAGTCCAGATCTGCTACTGAATCAGATTCAGGCAAGTGTGAACTGGAGAAATGAACTAATCATTAGCTCCTTCCAAACAAAATGAAAGGAGGGCTTTTGTTATGTTGGCTGCATATTCAGGTTTGAAATAAGGGAGTGAAGGAGGAAAAGGGAGAAGAAAAACAGCCTACAGCTGTCAATTGCCTTCTCTTTCAGTGTACTTTCTTGTTACCTGCCCCCCTCCTTTTTTCCTACTTTTCACAACTATGTGATGGAACTGGAATGTTTGGGAGACATTAAATTAAATCAGGATTGAAAAGAAAATTTGCTCTTACCTAATGGAGGTGTTCACTAACATACTTTATCACCCAGACCCTCCTCTACCTAGGTCTTCTTTTGTTGCCCAGAACACATTTCTTTGCTAAATTGTAAAGTGCCAGAATTGGAATCCTACCTGTAAAGTCATGTTTGGTTTCAGAGTTCAGTTCAGGAATAGACTGGCCCTGTTTCCAGGTCCAGTAACATGTGTTCTTCATGTCATAGACTTCACTTAATAGACTTGAATACATCCTCAAAAGGCATACTATTTGAAAAGAGGAAAACCAAATATAGAAAGCATCAAATCAAATAGCAATTGGGCAGAAAAGCTAAGGTTAAAGTTTTAGCTCAGTACTCATTAATTTTTTTATTCATTCATTAAGTGAACAACTACTGTCTAGTCTTTGTGTCAAAACTCACAGATGTCACTTATTCATTTATTCAGTTAGTCAGACTACACATATTTATTGAGAACTTATATACTGCTAGCTAGTAAACCTCTAGTTAGAACTTGTTATAGCCAAAAATTTTACTGAATGTAAGTTGAATAAAAAACACAAAAACAAAAAGTTATCATTATTAAGCCAAATAAGAATGTCAAAAAACATCATGAGCAAATCTGAATAACTGCCTTAATGTCAAATTTCTGTTTATGATAAAAATCTCAAAGTTTTTATTATATGAATCATTAAATCTTTCTCTATATCCTCAGCACATAGGATTTTACTTTGTTGACTTCCAGGTATATTCAATTGAGAATGAGCTTTGTTACAAATGAATCAATTGGTTTGAGGCTGGAGAGGCATACAGTTGAGAATATGTCTATAAAAAACTAAGTCCAGGTAAACTTAGCACACATGGTGGCAAGTATGATTATTATTTGAATGGCACTACTGAGTATTTTCTTAATAGATTCTTTAAAAAAAACTTTTTTATAATTGTGGATATTTTCTAGACCAATGTTCTTAAGGAGAGGAAAGGAAATTGCCCTTCTGAGTCATTTAGCTAAGTCAAGAGATTTTTTTTATTTTCATTTCTAGTGGGAGGCCACAGAGTGAGTAGTGGTAGGGGCATCTGATGGGTAGAGGCCAGGGATGCTGCTCAACATTTTAGAATTCACAGGAGAGGTTCACACAACAAAGAACTGTTTGGCCCAAAATGCAAGTATTACAGAGTTTGAAAAGCCCTGCCCTTTAACCATCAGTTTTCCTTTGCCTGGCACCTGGTACCACCCAAAGACATCCAAGCCTAACTGGAGATCAAATTAGGTGTTCTGTATAGCAACTCTTGTGCACTGAAGAGTGCAGAAGGTCTTCAAGCTCACTAGCTGTGTGGCTTTCTACCTATTGTTAGCTTGAGCTAATTGCTTAACCTCTTTGAGATCCCTTTCATTTAAAAAAATTTTGCATAATATGGACCATAACTAACTCGGTTGTAGTGAGTACTGATTGAGTATATGTGCATACATAAATATTCATTTAAAACTTATCCCTTATTCTTTTTGGCTTGCCCATTCTTCCCTCTGTTTCTCCCTTCAGCCTCTCAGTACCCCCACCCCCTTTCCCCTAGTCTCAAGTTTTTTTCCCTTAAAATGCTTTGATTCCTTCGGTGGCAAAAATCAGGTTTGGGCTAGGAAGTGAGTCACCGCTCAGCAGCGAAAGGAGCTTGTTTTTCTTTCTCTGAGCGCATTTCTTAATAATTTCAGCCTGATCCTTCAGCGCTTGTTGGTTGAATCCTCCCTGAATGTTTAAGACACGGAGAAAGGACTGTGACACCAAGATGTTTTCCGATCATCGGGAAGGAGAGTTTTTAAAATACCGAAAATAACCAGAGGGCAGCAAGCCCTGAAATCCTAGGTTACATAAGCAGACGTTGGAGGATTGGAGGAACCGGCTGGTTCCTCTCCACAAACCGGTCTCCATTGATACACCTTAATGCGGTACAAGTCTCAATAGGAGCCCTGGGTGCTGAACACCACAGGAGTAAAGAGCACTTCCCTGTCAAATCAGCGTTGGCTGGATTGATGAGGGATGGGGCTGGGTATTGCTGGGGCCGGTAGCACCGCGGCTGCGGAGGCTGCAGGGGCTCTGCAGGCTCTAGGCGGAGTGGGTCCCCTTGCGCTCCAGGTCCCTGTCCAGGTCCACCCAGCACTTTGTGCGGCGCGGACGACTAGCTCCCTACTCCTTTGCCCAGCTTAAGAACACTTCCGTGTGCCCCAACAGTTATTTAGCCTTTCAAATTCACAGAATACACCTTTAGTATTAACTGTCACACACAACTTCCCTCACCAAATGTCAATCAAAACCGGAAAATAATCCAATTCCCATTTTCTTCCAAATCTTGCCTCTCGGTCTCTCAGTGTCTCGCTCCCTTTCTCCCTCCCCGCTCTCCCCCTCCACCTGCCCCCCATTCATTTCCTCCCCAATTTTCCCCCATCTGTGGTCTAGATCTCCTTCTCTGTTTTCTCCCTCTCTCTCATGCCCTTCTCCACTCCTTCTTCCTCCCCCCACCCATCCCTGTCTCTCCTCCCTCTCGCAGGCAATCGGCTCTGCCCTCTCCGCCCTCTGGGCCCCTCCCCAGAGAAGTGTCCAGCTCCTCCTGGGGCTGCCCGCCCGCCGCTCCTTCCCTGCCCACCTACTATGAGGAGCAGCTCCTCCCACCTGCCCATAAAAGCCAAGTGCATGTCACCAGCAGCGGATCAGAGCACTTCCCTGGTCCTCTCCGTGGGAGCCCGCGAGCCTGTCTCCCTGATCATACGTGTACAAGGTAAGACACTTCTGCAGGCAGTGGACCTACTAGGGGTTCCTGCTGGGGAATTAGTCAGGTCTGGGCAATGCGCTCACTGTTTGGTTAGAGTTAATTTGTATGGATGCCTGATCAGCTGCTAGTTGCTAGTTACAGCAACTGGTTTGAAAACAAACTTCTGTTTGAACAGTGAAATAAAACTCCTTTTCGGTAGAAACAGCAGCATAAATATTACAAAACCCTTTTCCCTTTTTAAATCCCTTTTCCCCTCTTGCTAACTGTTGCTGAGGTTAAACTGTATCTGTTTTGGGTGTTAATACTGACGTTTTTCATTGTAAATATTTCATATATCCGCAGGGGCAAGGAAAACATTGTCCCATTGTCAAAAATGTACTTTAAAAGAACACAATTAGCTTCCTAAAAATAGCACAGTCAAAAGGTCTGCTAACAATTTTGCCATGTTTTCCAAACCCCCCAAGACAGCTTCTGTGAGTTCTTAAAAAAAAAAAAAATATCTTTCCAGGTTTAAGTGCTTGGAAAAAATGATGTGAACGGGTGCCCTTTGCACAGGGACAGTAATCAGGTGGCTGGTAGATAGGAAAGAACAAATCCAAATTTACAAGCTGGGGCAGGAAGAGTTCTTACAGAGCTATCTTTTCACCAGGTTTTAAAATGAGAATTGTGTTGGGACGAGGAAAGTATATAAAAGAACTTCATGAATTTCTATACACACACCTAAACATAAAGCGATTCAATATGTTTCACAGTAAGAGAAAAATACAGGCCAGATTATACAATACTTCTGTGTACACCAGACTGCTATAAAGAAAAATCAGCTAGAGTGGATTTGAAAGTTTTAATCCTCCTCACCACCCCTTCTTCCTTCATCTAACAAAACCTACCTGATTGGCAGCCGATTCTCACACAACTAATAGGTGTTTAAGCTACCCTCTGGGAAAAAAACGAATCTGTTCTCCCCAAGGTGGAAAGAGTGTGTGCACCTGTGAGAGCAAACCACCGTCCACTGCTACTTCAGTAAAAGCAAGACTCTTGGTCCATTCAGTTTGCCATCAAAGTCTGTGGGTTGTGTGGGATGAAACTCTCTCTCATGTGGGAGAAAAAAAAAAAAACTTCTTCAAATGTTTCCTCTGGGGAATTGCACAAGACCGCTTAGAGAAGGCAAATTGAAGCTGCCAGTCAGAAAACCAAACCACTATTTTGGCCCTTAAGGTTCTTAAAGTAAGAGAAACCCATTCCCTTTTCTTGTTTGGTTGTTGGTTTATATTGTTTCACAGGAGAAGGAAAAACTCACCAAAGCTGTACAAAATTTTCCTCTTTTAAAGAAACTAGAAATCATTGTTAGACATCCCACTGAAGGTCTTTCTAATGCAAAAGATATTTTAAAATTCTGTTTGAGATAAAATGAAGGGATTCACTGCTATTACTCAATGAAAGAGTTATATGTAAAGCTTTCTGTCATGTTCAATTTTTTTTCCATTGGAAAAAAAATTATTGCAAAGGAGTGTGGTTTCCTTTAAGAAAATGATAAAAGATTGCTATTGACCAAGATTATATGTGACCTGAACATATTAAAATACCTTTTATCTCAAGCCACAGTGCAGATGGCTTGCTTTATATCTGATGTAACTGGCTAATCAACCATGACTGAGCACAGGTATGAAACAAGGCCAAACCAAGTGCCTGATATGTCCAAGTTCTTTCTTCCTTTATGGTAGTGTCTGACTCCTGCCCATCATCCCAAGGATGAACATTCACTAGATTCCTTATGTGAAGTTGTCTTTCCCGTGATAGGGGGAAATGTTCCCAGTGTCAAAGAGCTCCCTGTTATTCCTAAATTTGGGGATGAAAAGCATTCTCTGGGGTTTTGCTTCTGCTTTTCCTGGCAGTTAGTCCACTGGATCAGCTATGAACCATTTAACAGTAACTGCCTTCCCTATGTGCCATCAGGTTCAACCCCCTAAATAACTAACTGGGTGAGATCATCTTAGATTGTTGGTGATCTAACCCTCCCAAGGGGGCTTTACCAAAATGATTCCTTCCATAGGGCACATATCAAGCAAGTTGGCACTTCCCTTCTTAAGTTTTTAGAAAACTCAGTGGTGAGGTTTTACACAGAAAACCCCAGTATTGCCCCTACTGCCTAGGATGTAGTAATATGAGTCTCCTGTTTTTTGCCTTTCTAAACTGCCCCTGAGTCAGATTCTTGGCTATACTTACCCAACACCAGTGCAGCAGGCTTTAATTGACTTCTTAACATTTCTCAAAAAAAGAGAAGATAAGTGCCCCTTTCAGGAGAGACACAGAAGGGTGCTTTGCTGACTTCCAGGGCCTGCCATACTTATGGAAACAAAACATTTTAAATATTCTACTATTGTTAAAATCGCAAAATATGTCTTCTCCATGCTCAAAAAGCATATGCTCCTATATTTACATTTGAAAGGAAAAAATCAAAGACAGGAGGATGGGAATGAAAAAGGAATTAAGAGTGAAGTTGGAGAAATCACAGAAAAATGATCAGGATCTCTGATAAAAATATAACTCTTGCAGTCTGAGGGGGATGAAGAAGAGCAAAATCCATGTCTGCTCTTAATTGTTTGTTTCTTTGATTTTTGTTTTCCACCAAGGAGAGTATTGCCACTGATGAAGTTAAGATCCATCTCTTAACTTGTTCTTCTCCTTAGTTCTCCTTCTCTGACCAAAAAGAATAGCTGAGTCCTAGAGACAAAAATGATTTCAGTTCAGCCCTATATTAAAACCCACAGGAATCTGCCAGTTATAATTTTAAAAGCTCAATTATGGGCATAAAGCCTCCAAACATATTTTAAATAATGAGTAGGTCATTAATCTAACTCTCCTGGAGGGTACAGTGTTGGTGATTATTTATTTGCAGGTTAGAAACAGCTATTTACTTCTTCTTCTCCAGTGTCACCCACCGTGGTATGGGTAACTACAGAGTGATTAAGACATAAACACATTCCCAATCCCTGCTCCTCCAAGAAACCACTGAGAAACAGGTCTTTCTGCATGTGTAAACTTCCTTTTCTTCACTTGCTCCCCATAAACATGTATGTGCATAATGTAAAGAGGGCAACTGATCTTGAGACTTGGGTGAGGAGTCTTGTGAGAGAGAGGTACACTGTTCTAACTGCTAAGAAAAAAAAAGCAGAAGAGATGAAGAAGTTAAGGGGACAAAGGATGCCTGTGGAATCTAGAGAATCTTTCTCTTTAGCATCTTGTGAAAAAGATCTTTCACTACCTAATGTGTCTAGGAAAGGGGGGGACAGTGGAGAGAAAGGAACAAGTTTACAACTTGTTACCAAATGCTAAGGATATAATAAGAAAGATCTCCCAATGGCCTGTCAGTCATTAACAGCTGTTCACACCCCACAGTACTAAATTATAGCTTTGCTAACTCCCCTTTTCTAGAGAGCCCAAGAAGCATAAAGAGTGAGACAGAGTTAACCACATTTCAGCACCAACAGGCTAGTCAGAAATTCCACTATCACATCAGTAACTATTTGCTGTTTGAGGAAGGAGGTTCTTTGCCATCTTTCCCCACGCAAATAGATTTACAGGAATGAAGTTAAAGGGAGTCACACAAGGTGACAATATCCACAACCTGGAAGCCCTGCGTACACAGATCCATCAAGGTGGTGATATTGCATTGGAGGAAACTAAAGTAAATAAAACAAAAAGTTCTCCAGAACTAATCATAATCATCTAAAATAATGAATTCTGATTTCTCAACATCCAGTAGGAGCTAAAGTGACAACTGAAGCTGATTACATGATGTATTAAAAGATGCCTGATGATTCACCCTCTGTGTCCTTTATTTGGAGCTCCCTTCCTGGAAAACAAAAAGTGGCCCTTCTGTCCTTCAGCAAAACCTTCTCAGCGTTTGCAGATGTAGTCACAGTGCCTCTACACCACAGCCTTTGTTTTTTCAGTGGAAGAAATCTCTTCAATTCTTATAGATCAAGTTTTTGGAGTACCACTCATACTTGTGGCTTTTCTCATTACCCAAAGTCTCCGCAGACTTCTCTTAAATAGGATATAAATTTTCACTCCATCAAATAAAAAATGTCACATTTTTTTTCTAAACCTTTATTCCTAGAAAAAAAGATCATTTCGAATTTTTCCTTGCCTCCAATAAATTCTCTGAGATTTCTATAGAAGCACCTTTTTAAAATAAATCCAGTTTCTAACTTCTTGATAATTACAAGAACTTAGAGTATCCAAAATATAAATGCTAGAAGAAACTTTGGAGCTAATCTTAACTAAAAGTTCATTTTACAGATGGGAAAAGTCAGAAAGATTGATGTCTTTCCCAAGATCACTTAGATGGGTGTAGCAGAACCAAGATCAAGTAGCCAAACTCTGTAGTCAGTGCTCTGTCTTGAGAAACTATGATGTGTCTCCCCACACAACATGAAGCTAAGGTGTCTGTGAGGATGCTGAGCATCCCGTAAGAATTCAACACGTAGGGTTCTCAGAAACCACAGCTGTAGAGGTTTAGACTACAGCTAATCCTCTGCCACAGAATGTCTAGGAAACATTGATGCAAACACGTGAGAGTAGAGTCATTGATCAACACCATCATTATATGCATTTCCCTGTTCCAGAAACGGGTACCCAATAACTGCTGGGTAAATCTGTATTCAGTGTGAGAAATTATGAATTTTTTTTTCAAATTTAAGAAAATGGCTGAGTATAAAATATCAATCTTTCTTATCTCCTTCCATAATAATCCCTATAAGAAGTCTGTAGGGACAGATAAGGACTCAAATCTCAAATGTTTAAAAGATTTCCTCATGCTTTAGGAAACATAGAAGAGTTCATCAAACTTCATCAGTGGCTGCAGTATTCTGCCTATTCCTTCCCACCTTGACCTGAGTTCTAGAAGTTATATTATTTTCTGAAATATGATGAGGACTAAGGTCTCATTCTAATATTTATGTGACAGAACATAAATGTTAATATATTAATGTATGATGATTTAC